TGTACGTGCCAGGTGGTCCATCAAAGAGACATGTATGGGTGGTGCTACTTATGCTGCTGCCAACAGCAGCTAATCAACTCTGCACATCTAGCTCCCCAACAGCTGAGATTACAGGATGGCACTACCCATGAGCTCGACTTCCTCCACCGTGCAAACCCGGATTTGAAACGGCGACCTCGGCCTCAAGAGTCAGGTTTCTTAACCACTACAGCCAGGACACTGTGTTCTAGAGTGGAACCGTACCGGTCGTGATATCCAACCCACCCGGATGTAGTTTCCAACTCAACACACACCACACACAACACCACACGGACAAGGCAATTCTCGCACACACCTCGCTCTCGCCACCAGTCAGGTTTTGATGCCAGTGCATCTTGGGTTTCAAATTTCAATTCATTCAGTCAATGTGCAAATTCTGTTCAGTGGTACGCTGGACCCGGTTTCCAGCAGGTGATGCTCCCCACCAGTGGATGGAGCCAAAAAAAAGGGGGGATGATTAGGGTGCAGTCACGATTTCAGTTTTACATCCAGTTCAGGCATCCCTCAAATACAACACATCCCCACCCGGCCCTAGAGCTGGGTTGCATACATTCACGATTTTCTGCGGTTCGACACAACATTCGCGAAATTGTGACTGAAATGCATTTTCAAACTGATCCCGTGACAGCGCCCTAGCTTCCCCCCCCCCCCCCCCCAAAAAAAAAAAAAAAGAAGGGTTTGATCCCAGTGCATGTCCACCGGCCATTGGGAACTGGGCTACCGTCATCCCCGAATACAACTTATGGCCGTATCTAGACAGAAAAGATGCCTCAAATACGGCTATAATACTTTCTTCCCCCGAATACAACTTGAATGTACGGTCATTATGGCTGTATCTAGACAGAAAGATGCCTCAAATACAGCTATAATGACCGTACGTTGTATTCAAGGGAAGAAGGTAGTCTGAAGATCATCAGGCCTTCTGTCTCACAAAGGGATGTTCCGGAACGCCCTGGTTTGTTTTTTATTTTATTTTAATTTTTAAATGCCCTGGTTTGAGGGCACAGCTGTGGAAATAAGAGGATGTTTATTGTGATTTAAATAAGGCCACCCACAGTTGTGGAGAGAAAGAAGAGGGTGTTTAATATCTGTTTATTCAACTGTATTGCGATCCGAAAAAGCCTTCCTTTCAGCGTACCCACACTGGGAAATTTTGTACCAAGCGTTTCATCGTTCCCCCACCCCCAACCGGATAAGCTACTGGCGGGCTGGAGGGAGACAACAAAGCTATGTTTGCAGGTGTCCCCTGTATAAGCCTTAGGAGTAGGGGTAGGTAAGTAGGTAGGTAGGTAGGTGGGTAGGTAGGTAGGTAGGTAGTGAAGGTGAATTGAAAGAATGTTTTTTCGAAAGATGATGAAAGATATGAGAGAAGAATGTAGCGTAGTTTTATGAAATAATAATAATAATAATAATAGAAATTGGACGGAGCTTGGGGCCCTGGCTGTGAGTCCAGTCAGATGTGTCTCCCTCTGCCTGTAATCTTGGCCAGATGCGTTTAGGAAAGTGCTCGTGTGAGTGTATGCCCTTTCTCTTTTATTTAAACATGACCTTCTTGCGACAGTCCTGCTACCACCAAGCAGGCCCGACAGTGCCACGGCTTGGATATCCGTGGGCAGGTACAAAATGAGGTCCAACAGGTCTGCTTCTGGTCTAGTGGAGGTTTAAAGTCTAAGCCGCCATTCCCATGGCCCCTGCACTATCCTCCTTTTTTTTTTTTTTTTTTTTCAAAGCCCTCTTGTGAGGCCTCTATCTTTCTTGTCTACAACTACCGGGCGAAAATCTTAAGTGCCCAGTCCTGCTACCACAATTACTTTCCCACAGGGCAGCACTGCATATATATATATATATATATATAGGGTTCAGCCTCCTGATGAGTCGGTGAAACTCATCGACGAAACAGTTTGTCACAGCCCCTCGTTTGTTGTCTTCTTCTCCCTCTTTGCCTACGGTTTATCGGGCAGCTCTGTTCGACGAGAGATATATATATATATATATATATATATATATATATATATATATATAT